CTTCCCTCCTCCTCTCCCTCCTCCAGCCTTCCCCAACCCCCCACTCCCTCCCTCCTCCCCCAACTACCCCCACTCCTTCCCTCCTCCTCTCCCTCCTCCAGCCTTCCCCAACCCCCCACTCCCTCCCTCCTCCCCCAACCCCCCCACTCCTTCCCTCCTCCCCTCCCTCTTCCAGCCCTCTGCCAATCCCGCCTCCTTGTCCCCAGCCCCGTTTCCCGCCTGTTCCAACGGCCGCTTCCCCCCTCGTGCCCTGAGGTGACCATCGGGCGGCTGGGGGGAGGGGCGGTTCTCTTTGAGTCCAGGCGGCCCAAACAAAAGCCGGGGGAGGGGCTAGTAACCCCCCTCCCTACGTCACAGCCTGCTAATTAACTCCCCCTAAGTAGCCGCCCCCCAGCTAATTAATTAACCCCCCCGGGGGATGATGACTCATGGCAATATCCTGGCCAAGGCCATCACCCCAATTAACCCCCCAGAGTTAATTAACCCCTTGGCCATGACCAAGCAGCTAATTAACAACCGGGTTTGTTGGCGCTTTCTTAAATAATGGTCTGGGCATAGCTAATTAACACAGATCATTAATGTATTAATAAAGACTAATAAGGACCCCCCAGTCGCCCATGATGCCTAACGCCCAACTGATCCCCGCAGGGTCATTAATATGATAACGATAGTGTCACCATAGCCGATCACCCCGAATTTCATTCATATCAATAACAATCGTTAATATCACCAGCATTACTATCAACAAATATTAATTACCATCCCCCCCAATTAACCTCATTCATACATAGCCCAGAGTTCATTAAATAACCAATAATCCCTCATTAATAAAGGGGCTACAATTAATAACCTCTAATATAATCAATAGACGATACTTAGGAAACAGTCATTCAAAAGCCAACATGCCGGAAAAACCCATAATTAACACAGAGCCATTAATTCGCTCATTCCGAATAATTAGAGAATTGATGATTAAAGGACCCATAAATATTAAATACTGCCCCAAAGGCCCATGGTAATAGATAAATAACCAATCAAAAGGCAACCAAGAGCCAAACAATTAGTGAACAATCCGAAATAAAAAGTAAATACCCACCATATTTCGTTGTAAAGACATAACCCATAAAACAAGCCTAATTAAATACATGATGATATTCATAAATAACCCACAAGACATAATAAAATAATACACAAAGGAGGAACGGCCACTAATGGCCGATAATAACGAAAGAACCACTGCCTAGAATAGAGATTCACTGATTATGAACAGGCTTGGCAGAATTCGATTTTTATTTTGTTATAATTTTGATGGATAACATGGGTGTTTAGCCATTTTTTCTCGATATTTTATTTTAGTGCACAACTAAGAGTTCAAAGCATTTTGTTCTTGTTTTACTTATTTCAATTTTCACCATTGCGGGAAATTAGGGAGGGATCAATAATGGGTGGGTGTGTCAGACAGTAATTATTTAATGATGGTAGACACTGAAATTCAAAAAGTTTATAACTGATAAACACAAACTGTCAGCATCACATGAGGAAACATACAAAGTCGAAATCAAACTCCGATAATTTCCCAAGAAATGGCTGTAACTTTCCGTTATTATTGATGGAAATGTTTTGCATATCTGCAGCGAAATCGATGTTTACCAGCGTTGGTGATAAAAATCTGATCCTTCCAAGCCCAAAAATAATCCACAAAAGGATGAATGGCCACTAATAACTGATGATAACTAAAGAACCCTTATCAGAATAGAGATTCATGGATTATAAAGCCAGAACGGACCATCCCTTCTGAGCTCCTGGATGACAGAGTCCAGAGAACTGCCCTGAATATTTTACATCAGTTATTGATAACAATCAATGGTCAATTAGCAAATAATTAACACTAATTTGTTAACAATATTTTATAGTTAAGTGGTGATACATAATTAATAATAACTATGTAATAGCTAATAAAGTAAATAACATTTCAGTCAATCAACTACCATCATTAAAGTGTTAATAAATAAAAATCAATATTACAAAGTTAATTAATCATACATATTTGTTTCATTAATAAGGAACTTGATTACTTTTATCCAGCCATCACCATACACACCCTTCCACCCATCCATCCCCCACACACCATCCATCCCTCTAGCCTTCCCCTGCACTCTGCCATCGATCCATCTATCCCCATACATACCCACTCATCCACACAACCCTCACTCTCTCCATCCTCACACCCGCTCACCCATCCCATTATCCATCCATCCCCATCCACACCCATCCATCCACACACCCCTTCCTCATCCCTCTCTCCATCCTCACACCCGCTCACCCATCCATCCATCCATCCATCCATCCATCCATCCATCCATCCATGTTTCCCTCCTCCTCCATCCATCTGTCCCTGGATCTATCAACCTACCCCCATCTATCCCTCCCTCCCAGTGCAGGCCTGCCGGAGCTAACTCCTCCTTGTCCATGTCCCTCCACAGCATGGATTGGTTCCACTGCAACCAGTGCTTCCGCCAAGATGGCGCCAACTTTTGCATCACCAGCTGTGGACACCTCTTCTGCAGGAAATGCTTTGCCGCGGGTGAGGCTCAGGGCATGCTCCGTGCTTTGCCCCCAGGGTTCTGAGGGGCAGGGAATGGGGTCCGGCCCCCTCCAGAAGCCTTTGGAACCATGCACATAGTGAGCCATCATTGGAGCCCCCCCCCCCAAAATGCTTCAAAAAATTTTTCTTCAAAAATTAAACTTCTCAGAAAAAATTTCCCTCAAAAACATTCCCTCCGCCAAAAAAATCATTGTTGATTTGTTTTGAGAAGAGATTTTCAACCATTACATTTTTCTCAACATTTCCCCCCTTGAAGATTAATTTTTTCTTTTAAAAAATCATTTTGATGAAGTTCAAGAAGAAACTGACATTTGTCATTTAGCGATACAGGAAAATTCCCGTTTTCTGTGTTTTTTTAACTTTGCCCACCATTCGCCCATTGGAAAAAGGAGGGTGAAGGTTCAAATTTTCTTTTTAACTATAAAGTTAAAGAAAGTGAGGGGGGAAACCCAGATTTGCACCCTCATTAACGTCTTCTGACTGGAAAAATTGTGAAAATAATAGAAAATAGGGAAAATATTTAGGGAAAAAAGTAAAAAGCGAGTTCTTCCTCACATTTCACACATTTTTCTTCCACAGGAAAAGTGCAAAAATAGCTTGAAAAATGTTAAAAAGCGAGAAAAAGTACCTTTTTTTTTAAAACATCAGCTTTTTCCAGTGGGGAAAAAAAAAGTAAAAAGGAAGCAAAAGTGTGTTTTTTTCCACATTTTCTCTCACTTTCACATTCTCCGTTTCACTAAAAAACCGGGGGGGGGGGATAGTAACAGAGTGCCTTGCCTACACACACAAACTGTACTGCTTCAGCTCCCTGGCTTAGTTAAATCGGTATAAACTCTGTACAGAACTTGCGACCACAATAATAATAATAATCATCATCATCACTTGTTTCAACCCTTGCAGAGAAATGCCCCATTTGTGGAGCGACCTGCAAATATCTGTGTCTCGCTGATAATGTGAGTTGCTCTCATCCTTTTCCACCATCCTCCCTTCCTTCTCTCGTCTACACATGCAGGGTGATGCTGGTTTAACTAGAGATGTGGTCTTAGCCCAGTTGTGTGTGGCTGCTCCAATTTCAATTTAGCATGAGACTCTTTCAGAGTTTTAGCCCTGATCAATTTTGCTTTGGTTGCTTCAGGTCCCCAAAATGATCTGTTCATGTTGGCTCAAAAGCTCCAGTAGGATCCTGGTGTATGGGCCTCTGACCCCTTCAGGTGTCCCATGGTCCTCCCTGAAAATCCCCCAGGAAACCTGAAAGCAGTGCAAAGGACTCTGGGATGCAGGTCCTCGGTGCAGCACGTGGCTTGAAGGTGCCCTACCAAAATAGCCCATATCTGATGGTTGAGCTTGAATGTGTCTCTTTGAAAGGGTCCTCCATTCTTGATTGAAAGACTCCAAACCAAAATTGGAGATGTGCAAATTTGTGCCGGCCTCACCATCTTAATCCCAAGTCTTGTGTTGTTTTATTTCAAGTCCCAGCTTTCAGAGCCGCTGACCCAAGTAATCAAACATACCACGTTTCAGACCCTAGAATAACCATGATTGCCTTTCAAAGCATGTGCTTGTACCAGATCATAAATTGGGGTTCTTTTCCTTTCCTTTCAGATGGATTCACATTTTCAAGCCTTTCACCCCAGTCACAAAGGCTAGAAACATAGGGATTTTTTGGTATAAATGAAAGCGGAAATTCTCCCATAATCATGGTGCTGCGGGTGCTGGCAACTAGCAAAAAATAACAGAAAACTGAGCCAGAACTTTCTAGCCTTAGGTTTTATTAATCTGAGGCACATATGTTTGTAGATATGTCTCTCTCGATCTTCATTCAGATGTGCCCCTCAGATGCCAGTCCCTTTTACCTGGATCACATTGCTGGGGGGGGTCATGATCCAAGCCGGGTGGGAGCTGCTCCGTACTTGCTTTGCCTATTTCTTTCTCGCCCACAGATGAAACCCCAAGAAAAGATCTTTTTCAAGAGCCCGGTGGAAACGGCCCTCAAATATCTGGCCCACATCTCCCAGGTAAGGGGCAGAGAGTCCCCATTGGAGGGGGAAGATCAAAGCTGGCACCCCCTAGATGGGAAAGGCTCCATCCAAGGTAACTATAGGCCAGGAAACAATCCTGGGCTAAAGAATGAACAAGCTACATGGGACTCAGGACAGAGGTATAATCAATACCAGTCAGCACGGTTACATGGAAAACAGCTGACCTTCTTCTCTGAGGAGATCACAAGCTTCGTTGGTAAAGGTAATTGTAGCTGTGACTGGCTTTTGTAAGGTGTTTGACACAGCACCACCTGACACCCTGATTAAAGAACGGGCAGGGATCCAATGTCAATGGTGCACACGTTAAGAACCAGCTAAGGGACAGATCTCAATAAATAGTTCTCGACAGGGAATCACCATCCAATGGGGACGTACGTCTCTAGTGGGATCGCACAGAGAGAGGTCAGCACTAGGCCTGGTGGCCTTCAACACTAGACTTGGTGGCCTTCAACACTTTATAAGGAATAGCTACCATGGATTTGTCAAGAACAATCATGCCAAACCAGCCTCCTTTGACAGGGTTACTGTAGGGTTACCATATTGAACAAATAAAAAAAGAGGACCCTCCACGGGGCCCTGGCCCCACCCATTTCCCCACCCCACCCCGCCCCTTCCCCGCCCCAACTCCGCCCTAACTCCGCCCCCTCCTCCCTCCCACTCCCAGCCATGCAAAAAGGGCTGCCTGAGCGCTACCGGCTTCACGGTTTGCCGGGCAGCCCCCAGACCCTGCGCCCCCGGCCGGCACTTCCGCAGCGTAGCTGGAGCCCGGGAGGGGAAGCTCCCAGCCGGGGGCACAGGGTCTGGAGGCTGCCCGGCAAACCGTGAAGCCGGTAGCGCTTGGGCTTCGGGCAGCCCCTATGCCTCCGGACCCTGCGCCCCCGGCCGGGCTCTTCCCCTCCCGGGATCCGGCGGCGCAGGGTCCGGAGGCATGGGGGCTGCCCAAAGCCCGTAGTGCTCGGCTCTTAAACAGAGCCAAGGAGTCAGGGGAGGTGCAGAGCCGCCGCGGCCGGAGGCTGGGGTCCGGAGGCAAG